TCACATTCAATATTTTGAATGTGACCCACCATTATTATTTGGGATTTTACCCCAACACTCAGATGTGCTGAAAAGGCAGCCGTAGGCAATTTGTTTTCTATTGCTGGTTAAGAATAACATATGTTGTTCTGTGGGTAGCGGCCACGTGATTTTGAAATTCCGAAATTTTAACACTTAAATCTGAGGGATTTCTGCCCAAACCTGTGGGATCTGAGATTTGTTCCTGAGTTTCTGGCATCATGACCATTAAGCAGCTTGATCAGGAGCCAGAGAGGCCGTTCATGGGCGGTGACTCGGGTCTCCTTGGGGTGGGGAGGAAAGGGCCGGATCCACCCCCATGTGGTGAGGCCCCGTGTGTCTCATCACTGCAGGCCCAAACCTGACTGTCTAGTGGCCTCTGGAGGATGGTGGCCACCGAGCCGCCTAGGGGGAGCAGGTGGAGGGACAGCACCCTTTTCCCCCCTGGAGTGGCCCAGTGACAGTAACCTACTGCGGGGTCTGAACGCATTTCTGCCAAAAGCCACTGGATTCTGAGATTTGTTCCTGAGTCTCTGGGATCATGACCATTAAGCAGCTTGATCAGGAGCCATAGAGGCCCTTCGTGGTCAGCGACTCGGAGTCTCTTTGGGGTGGGGAGGAAAGGGCTGGTTCCACCCCCATCCCTTGAGGCCTGACGTGACACTTCTTTTTGTAGCTTTCTTATTTCTGCTCTCATTTCTTCCTGTGTTTTCTCGGCTATCCTTTCCACTTTTATTTTTTACTTTAATTTTCTGGATGTCTGCTCCATTGATTCTTTGAGTTCCTTGAACATCCTCAGCATTTCATCTCGGGATTCTTTATCAGAGAGATCGTATTAGTGGGTAACCCCTGTTGAGGATTCGAGACTCTTTTCTTTGTCCTCTCCTCATAGTGGAGATTTGCGCTGTTTCCTCATGCTGTTTTGGTTGTATAGAGGTAAAACCTTCAAGTTCACTAGCACTGTTCCCTCGTATTGCCAAAAAAGATTCTGAATAAGGTTCGTCGATGGTGGTCACCCTTCTCCCCTTCTAGGATACGTCCTTCCTCTTAGACATTATTCTGTGGCTTATGATAGGCATCTAGTGAATCATTGGAGGAGGTGCTCTTTTATATTGGGCTTATACAACTTCTTGCATACACTAGTCTTTTGTTGGAATTGGAGTAGGCCGGTGGATTATTGTCATATTGTGTTTGAGGTGGCCAGGATGTTTTCCACAGAATTAGGTGATGAAGGTTGGGATATGAGTTGAAAGTGCTGGGAGTGGGAAATATAACCCGCCACACAGAAGGCCACACCTACTTTAGGAGGCCACGCCCCTACAGTGGCGGCCACACCCCAGCCTGTTCAGATACTTGTCCGCAGACCTGTTGAGAGGGGCTGAGGCTAGTTTGGCTGGTGCTAGGGAGGGAAGTGAAGGCAGGTGCCCCCAGGCTGGTGGGGTGCGCAGACGCTGCCACAGACCTGTTGAGAGGGACGGCAGCTCTTAAGAGTTTGATTTTGTGGCCATTCCAGAGGTGCTCAGAGTTTACTCCAGATTCTGTGCTCAGGGAATACTCCTCGTGGGCCCTGGGAACCATATGTTTTGCCAGGGGTCAAATCCATGTCATCTGTATGCACGCCTTACCAAGCCTTGCATGCTATACTCTTTCCAGCCGACAGATTTTTTTTTTTTTTAAAAAAGTACACCTATTGCAAAGCAAGCTTGACCTGTGATTTCCCTGTGGTTTTAAAATTTAGAGTAATCAGCAGTACTACTGTAATATTTAATGTAGAAATGTGGGGCTGGAGCAATAGCACAGCGGGTAGGGCGTTTGCCTTGCACGCAGCCAACATGACCGACACAGGTTCAATTCCCAGCACCCCATATGGTCCCCTGAGCACCGCCAGGGGTAACCCCTGAGCATCGCCGGGTGTGACCCAAAAAGCAAAAAAAAAAAAAAAAAAAAAAAAAGAAATGTATATGATGCTCATAGGTATCTGAAAGTGTGAACAATTGGAAGAAACTTAAGTTGCTTATTATTATTAAGCAGATTAATGCTACTTTTTAGTGTTTCAAGAATATAATTGATCAAATCCAAGATGCCAGCAAAATTTGAAGTTAAGGATGCAGGGAGATAGCTCTGAAGGTCAGCGTTGTCTGGGTGTGATCCTCAGCAGCACCACAGCGCGGTCTCCTGTGCACTGTTGGGAGTGACCCCTGCGCACTGAAAACAGCCCATGAGCACAATTGAGGAAGGCCCTGAAACAAAAAGCAGCAACCAAAATTTTAAGCTGCCTAGCTAGTATCTTCATTGCTGTGCATACAAAACTTTCAGATCCTAGGATATTTTTTGTTGATCTCTTCCTTTCAAAAATCACTGAATCATAATTCAGTAATTACGAGAAGGGAAAATTCTAACTTTTAGACTCATAAGCCTTATAAGTTAAAAAAAATTTAATGTTGAATCATTGCACATTCATTTGTGTGCTTGTCTTCTGCCAAGCAAATTTGTATTATAGTTTGTACCAAATTTCTAGATATGTGAAGTGAAAGGAGCAGATAATGTTTCTTGTTTTCAAAGAGTTTAATGTCTGACATGGGAGTTAGAAATTAAACATGAAAGATATTAAATATATTACTTGGGGGAAATGTTGAAAAAAGCATGATGAGTAGTTCCTTTTTTTATTTCTGCACTATTGAGTTCAATAATGTGATGTGAAATTTATTGGATCACTTCCTTGCAAGATCTGATTAAGTTCATAGATAAAGTTGTAAACATTTAATTAAATATTTGAAATCTGTTCTGTTGTCCAATTTAATTCTGCATCTTTTGGACCAAATTTAATTAAATTTTATGCTTCATTTAAACTTTTTCAGTTTTTATTTAAAAAATATATTAGAAGAATGAAAGTGAATGGTATAGACTTCGTCCTCTAAAATAAACTAGAAAAATGCTACTGTGGTTATTATTAGCCTTCCGTCTCATAATCAGTTGGCAGTGGCTTCCAACAGTAAACTTAGAGCTTTGTGTAATATCTGGCTAGTCTGCAAACAAGTTAGTAGTAAATGCATGTAATATGATACAGAAACAGAATCTTGATATTAGAAACAACCCCTCTCTTGTGCGCATGAGAAGAGAGAAATGCATGTAGATATGTACACAGATACCCTTTTGATTAATCTCAGAGCAAGTGAACCTTCCCTGTTCGGGCTCTGTAGTCAGCTGTCAGATTTCCTTTACCAGGCTGGTATTTATTCAGTCAGTTGAATATGGTTGGGGGGAGCCTGAAGGAGATGGGTGGTTTCAGTTTCTCCTTTAAGTGATGTCATGACTGAGTTTGGAAAGGAGCAGAATCAGAATCAAACTTTTTTACCTTAATCACGGAGTCGTAGATACTCCGAGATAGCACTGTAGCACTGTCCTCCCATTGTTTATCAATTTGCTCGAGTGGGCACCAGTACCATCTCCATTGTGAGACTTGTTACTATTTTTGGCATATCTGTTATGCCACGGGGAGCTTGCCAGACTCTGCCGTGTGGGCAGGATACTCTCAGTAGTTTGCTGGGCTCTCTAAGAGGGTTGGAGGAATCGAACCCGGGTTGGCCATGTGCAAGGCAAATGCCCTACCTGCTGTGCTATTGCTCCAGCTCACTCTGAGATAAGTAACCTAAAATTGTAGGAGTCAGATTTGAAAATCTGTAATGAGACAGAAACAAAATATTAATTGCATGTAAATTCCTAAAGAGGGCAAATGTTGGAGATTTAACATTTCAGAAAGGAATATACTTTTCAGAAAGGAATTTATCTTTCAGAAAGGAAAAATCTGCACCCTTGTTAAGTGTACATTTTTAAAAAAATTCTGCTTTTTTTTGTTTTATTGAACTACTGTAAATTACATTAAAAAGTTCTTGATGAATTTCAATATAAGTGTGCATTTTTTTTTTTCAGACAGCACAGAATAAAAGCATAGACTCCGTAGGAGTTGGTTTGGATAGGCTCTACAATTAGTTAAGAAGAAAAGGTTGTAAAAGTACCAGTCATTATTGTTCTGAACTAAAGGAAAGTTTTAAGAAGATCTTCATTTGTATGGGTTTATTTCTGTGTTTATCTTGGGTCATTAGGACTTCTGATGTTAATTTACGTATTTACAGTAATTTTTTCTGATGAGGCATTTTTTACTAATCATTGAAGATAATGTTTTTTGTTTTTATTTCAATTATTAGTAATTGAGTTTTTTTTGCTTCACTAAGTTAACATAATCATAAAATTTATATACATTGTTGTAAAAAATCTGTATCGTTCCAATTTTAGTATATGTGCTGCCGAAGCGAGCACATAAAGTAAAGTAAGTAAAGGCCCTCCCGTTGATCATCGATTTGCTCGAGTGGGCCCAGTAACGTAGGGCGTTCGCCTTACAAGCGGCCAACATGGCCGACCCGAGTTCAATTCCTCCGCCCCTCTCGGAGAGCCTGGCAAGCTACCGAGAGTATTCGATATGCCAGACACAGTAACAACAAAGTCTCCAATGGAGACGTTACTGGGCCCGCTCGAGCAAATCGATGATCAACGGGAGGGCCTTTACCTTTACCTTTACCTGTTGTAAAAAATAAGACATTTAGGAAAAGTACGATATTAGAGCACAGCGGGTAGGGTGTTTGCCTTGCACAAGGCAGACCCGCCGAACCAAGTTCAATTTCTCCGCCCCTCTCGGAGAGCCGGCAAGGTACCGAAAGTATCTTGTCCGCACGGCAAAGCCTGGCAAGCTCCCCGTGACGTTTTCGATATGCCAAACACAGTAACAACAAAGTCTCACAATGAAGACATTACTGGGCCCGCTGGAACAAATCGATGAACAACGGGAGAACAGTGCTACAGTGCTACGATATTGGAAAATATAAATTAGCTTATCTCTTATGTGTATTTTTCATCCTCAAAGTCCTTTATAGTTTTTATTAAATATATTGAATTGTAGTTAAAGATTAAAATCTCTCTCCTCATAGTTAATCCTGAAGGAAGTTGACTCGCTATTGTATGTCGACACTGACATCCTTTTCTTACGACCTGTTGATGATATTTGGTCTTTACTGAAGAAGTTTAATTCCACACAAATTGCTGCAATGGCGCCAGAGCATGAAGAACCTCGAATTGGATGGTATAATCGCTTTGCCAGACATCCATACTATGGGAAAACTGGAGTGAACTCTGGAGTTATGCTGATGAATATGACTCGAATGAGAAGAAAGTATTTCAAGGTAAGAATGATAAAGGTTGACATGTCTCTGTTTATCCTAAAAATATTAGATTTCCCTTTTAGTTTTGTGTTACTAAAAAGTAGGTTTAACTGTTCGGATTTCCCACTTAATCTAGAATAGAAGAAAGGTGTTTTCTTAATAATTTACTTACTAGAGCATTGTGATAAATCAAGTGAGATGGAATTACAGTGAAATAAAATAATGCACTCATGACATCTTTTTTCTAGGTTGTTATTCCAAGCAGCAGTTGTTATTTTATAGCATGCAGGTATAGAATACTTGAATCCAAAGTGTGCTTTGTCTTGGGAAAGCATAGATTCTAGAACCTGATGATACGTTAGTTGACTCCTAGACATAACTTAGTATTCTGGAACCTTGAACATCTCTGAGATTTAGTTTTCCCATCTGTAAAATGAAGATTATATCAAACAATCCTGAAACCAGAGGGCTTTTATGAGGGGTAAAGGAATCAGTAGCACACAAATATTGGATATTTTGGTGTTGTGTTCTATTTTGGGAAAACACATGGTGGTGCTCAGGGCTTACTTCTGACTCTGTGCCCAGAGATCACTCTTGGTGGGGCTCCGGGACTAGATATCTCTGCGTTCAGAGCCATAGTAGGCCCTCAGATGTGATGTCAGGGAACTATTGCTCCAGCCCCAGTTTTGGTCCTTTTGTAAAACTTAAAAGTTCCTGCATGTAGAACTGGAGAGATGGCACAGGGATCACTACAGGACCTGAGTTCCAGTCCAGCACCTCCCCAACGCTTTCAGGGTTCACTGGCCTGAGCATTGGACCTTCAGTCAGACTTCCTGATCACTGGCTATCACAATAAAAAAGTCTTTGCAGTTTTCATCCCTTTGAAATTGAGAATCAATGAGTCAAGATACTTAAATTCTCTGATTGCATATATATGTGTGTATATGTATATGTGTGTGTATATATACACATAATTCTCTTGATACATATATACACACAATATATATAAAAATTTTTTATATTAAGTATATTTACACAATTCTCTATGTGTGTTATATATACTATTCACCAGTGTCCATGAGTCATATTTGCTGACTAAGTAACTGTAGGTTGTAATTTCTTGGAGTCAAACTATTTGCCTGTCTTTGCTTTATAATTTGTGCACTTTTTAGCCACTACCAAGTTAGTTTAATTTTCATCTGTCAAGAAGTAAAACAGAGATGACCGATAGGGTGTTTGCCTTGCTCGCAGCCAGCCCGGCTCGATTCCTCCACCCCTCTCGGAGAGCCCGGTAAGCTACCGAGAGCATCTCGCCCGCACCCTGGCAAGCTACCCGTGATGTATTCAATCTGCCAAACACAGTAACAACAAGTCTCAAAAAAAATGGAGACGTTACTGGGCCCACTCAAGCAAATTGATGAACAACGGGAGGACAGTGGTCAGTGGTCTAATAAGCAGGCTTATTTATTTATTTAATTTTATTGAATCACCATGAGATAGGTACAAGCTTTCATGTTTGGGTTACGATCACACAATAATTAAACACCCATCCCTCCACCAGTGCACATTCCCCACCACCAATATCCTCAGTATACCCCCCCCTTCCCACCCTCCCCCTGCTTCCATGGCAGACATGATTGGTTGTTTCCAGATTTTGGCTACAATGAACATACAGGTATAGATGTCATTTCTACTGTGCTTTTTTGCATCCTCGGGATATATTCCGAGAAGTGGTATTGTGGGGTCATATGGAAGCTTGATTTCTAGTTTTTGAAGGACTGTCCATATTGTTTTCCAGAAAGGCTGGACTGGTGGGCATTCCCAACAACAGTGAAGAGTGAGTGTCCCTTTTTCCCCACATCCACGCCAGCACTGGTTGCGTTTGTTCTTTTTAATGTGAAGCAGACTTATTTATAAACAAGATCTGTTTAAAGTACTGATAGTGCTTAACATTGTAGCTCTGTAGCACTGTCCTCCCATTCATCAATTTGCTCGCGTGGGCACCAATAATGTCTCCATTGTGAGAATTGTTTTTACTGTTTTTGACATATCGAATATGCCACGGGGAGCTTGGAGCAGTAGCACAGCAGGTAGGATGTTTGCCTTGCACGCGGCCGACCAGGGTTCAATTCTTCTGTCCCTCTCGGAGAGCCTGGCAAGCTACAGAGAGTATCCCGCCCACACAGCAGAGCCTGGCAGCCTCCCTGTGGCATATTCAATATGCCAAAAACAGTAACAAGAAGTGTCACAACGGAGATGTTACTGGTACCCACTAGAGCAAATTGATGAACAGTGGGAGGACAGTGCTTACAGTGCTTAACATTAAGCATTTAAATGTTAGCTAAAATAGTGATTCTGAAGTTTACGTGCGTATAGACTTAGTATTTATTCATTTGCATCTAATTAGGACTAAATTAAGAATTAAGGGCTATTTTTATGATAAGAATATATCTTTCTATTCACATATTTGTCAGACATTTTTCTTCTATCTTCTGATAAATCAGAATTTGCTAATATGTTTAAAAATTGCATGAAATAGATAAATTCTGCAGATATGCAATTTATTAAGAGTGAGGAGTGGAGAATTAAAAAATAATTTAGGGGGTTGGAGAGATAGTGTGTGTTGTTGTTGGGGGACCACAGGAGAGATAGTGTAGTGTGTTGTTGGCGTACCACAGGAGAAATTGTGTAGTGTGTTGTTGGGGGACCTCACTCTGCTGTGCTCAGAGCTTACTCCTGGCAGTGCTTGGGGCACTAACCATGTTGTGCCAGAAATCAGAGCTGGGTCAACCATGTGCAATGCAAACAACTTACTGAGCTACAACTGTAGTCACTGAGCACAGCCAGCACTTGCCTTGCACATGGTTGATCCAGGTTCAATCCCAGCACTCCATGTGGTTCCCCGATCCAGGAGTGATCTCTCAGTTCAGAGCCATAGTAGGCCCTAAGAACCACAAGGCATCGAAGCAAAACAAAAAACAAAAGAATAAAATTTCTCTCACCTGAAATTTGGCCGGAGCAGTAGTTGAGTGAGTAAGTTGCTTGTATTGTGCATACCTGACCCAGCTCTGATCTCTGGCACCACATGGTCAGTACCCCAAGCACTTCCAGGAGTAAGCTCTGACCACAGCAGTTTGGTCCCCCTACAATAAAAATAAACAACAACTTGAAGGACAATTTTGCAAAATGGAGTTTATCTTGTCTTTTATAGAATCTCCTTTATTTTTTTACAAAACAGGTTTCAGGGCTACGGATTTTCTAAGCTGTTGGCTGTCTATGTATTTAAGTTTTTTGAGCCTTTTTTAAGTCTTGATTTCAATTAGTTTTGCCTCCCATGATTGAGTGTATTAATGAAGCCACTGTAATCTTTGCTATTGCTGCTTCTTTCCAGATTGTTAGACTTCAAGCGCAGAAACATACCAGAAGATGGTGCTATAAGATTATCTGCTAAGGAATAATGTCGCTTCTCAGTAATTCTTTATTTGAAACTTACATAGTTATAAGAAGTTTAGTATTACAAAGAATAAGTTTAGTACTACAAAAAGATAGTTTAACATCCTTGGTTTGTAAAAGAGATTCAAAATAGAGCTATCATTCATATCTATAATTATTTTTTACTTGTTGAAACATATCTTCAATACTTTAACAGTTTCTCCCCTTCTTTAGTTTTTGCCTGTGACATATTTTCAACAGCCAGAGGTGTTTTATACATATCTGTGAATCTTGCCCTCTGGTTCTTATCAGGTGATTAGACGCTATTATACACTGTTCATTTAGGAACATGACTGTTTAATTTTTAATTTGCATTGCTATTACTGATCATTGCCGTTATTCATGACATTTAGGTTCAATATAATGTATTGTTATTTTGCTTCTCATTATGCTTCATAGTGATTAAGACACTTATTAATTTACTGCCTAGTATTTTGTTGATGATTGATTTTGCAGTGTTGAACACCTACTAGGATATTTTTTTGACGTTTGAGAAAAACACAGGAATAGGAATAAAGCATTTTGAGAATACTTTTCTATTCATTGTCTTTGTTCATATCCCCTCTCTGTTGTTTTTGTAAAGTAAATTTTGTCTGTTTTTTCAAACCTCCTGAATCATTGTACAGTTTTATATTCAAAGTACTTGTGAGTTCAGAATGTGGGGTGCATGGCGTGTACATACATTCAGTGGCCAAGAGCCACCTCTCCAGGCCTCCCAAGCAAAGGAACCAAGAGACAGAGGACTCACGGATAGATGGTAAAGATGGCCCAGCTTTAATGCAGGGCTGTTAGAGTATTGATTATAAGAAACTTGAAGATATCAGAACCATGTAGTTTGAGGGTGGGGAGTAGCTCAAAGGGCTAGTGTGATACTTTGCATGTGGGGTACCCCTGTTGGATCACCATCGTGAGGTTGAGCCCCAGCAGCATCGTCCACTTCAGCACACTGGGAGCAATCTCCCTGGCAGCATACTGGGAGTGGTCACTGAGTACAGCCAGGTGGCATGCCTGAAGATAAATAGCCCCCCTGCCCAAAAAAAAAGAGTACATGATTAATTTGTCTGGGTTGAAAATTAAAACACAGAAGTAACTACTTTTCGAAGGAAAAATAAACCTGTTTTCCTGCAACCCTGGTGTTCTTTCTGTAATAGTAGCACATTAGACCTCTAGTGAAGACAGTATTGGTTGGCAGCCTTCCAGGTTAGCTGGAATTCAGGACTGGGTAAATTCTAGACCAGTTGTTAATCTGTGGTAGCAAAGGTTAGAATCTTCAAGATGGGTTAGTTCAATCTCCCCATTCTTTTAACTCTAAAGGCATCAAGAAATGAATACCTGTTTCCTGGAATTAAGTCTTCAGTACATCCAACCAAACATATCCTAATTATCCCTTCCATGGGATGATAAAAGTTGTAGACACTCCATATATATCACTAGGTGGAACCCGGTTATTTTCCTTAACAGATATTCTTTGACTTGGTCATTTATATTCTTCTTTGCAGAGTTCTTTTCTTGAATTTTCTAATGTACAAGTAGCAGCACTTTAAAAAAAAAAAGAAAGGTCTCAGTTAATTAAGGGTAAGATGGGCAATATACCCAACAACTAATCTAAAATTGCAAAATAAATACAAAGAAAACTTTAATATGTTAATGAGGAAGCAAGTGAATATTTTAATAGATATTGATCAGGAAATCTGTGATAAAGAGGCCAATTTTTCATGAAAATTATGCACTGTAAAATATAAATAATAACTTTCTGCATCTCATCTCTTTCCTCCATAATTATCAAACATATTTTTTGTGTTTATCTTTATATGTATTTGTGTGTTTTTACTTATCAGCATCAAATGATCTCTGAAATTTCAATTATAAAGATCAGATCAGTCTGTGAAATAATTAGTGATAATGACAATAATAATTGCTAATGAGTATATTTTGTGCTAAATATCATTTCAAGTACTTTTTAGTTATTTAGTTTTATATTAACAGGCATGATCCTCAGCAACTCTGTTACTTAGACACAGGTAGTATGTGTACATATTAGAGACAAAATTCTGTATTTTTAGATAATGTCACAGTTACAGTACTAGGTATACAGTCATCTGTTAGTCTTATCAACTGAAGGTTGATTACATGTCATTTGGTTTTGTAACCATCTTCCTTATTGGTCCTTCATAATTGGTAAGGGAAGAGTGAGGAACTATCACTGTGTGCTCACATTTTAAATGTGGGAATCTAAAGATCATTTAAATATATTTATCCACAGAATGATATGACAACTGTACGACTACGATGGGGAGATATACTTATGCCCTTGCTTAAAAAATACAAACTAAACATCACTTGGGGTGATCAAGATCTCTTGAATATCATATTTTTTCATAATCCAGGTAAACATTTATATTTTCTTTACTATTTGGAGTTGCTTTTTAAAGAACATTCATAGATCATATTGAGTAAAAAGGTTTGATTTTAGATTGTATTAATTACTGATGTATATGTTAACAGAACAAAACTTGGAGACCAGAGCAAATAGTACAATATGTGTAAGATGTTTGCCTTGCATGTGCTAGACCTGGGTTTGATCCCCAGCATCCCAAATGGTCCTCTGAGTAATTCCTTAGTGCAGGACGAGGATTGACCCTTGAGCACTTCTGAGCATGACCTCCAAAAAACTAAAAAGAGAATGAAACTGCTTAAATGTTTAATTGGAAGAGCTTTTTGAAGAATTGAAAATAAAAAGTTATGGAAAACATTTTTTTCACTAATTTAAATATTAGCTTGTTCTGTATATGCTTTTAACTTAAAATTTTTCTAAAAGTTTATTTTGTGGAATTAGTGTTTAATCGTTTTGTCTTTCTTTACAGAGAGCCTTTTTGTTTTTCCCTGTCAATGGAATTATCGACCAGATCATTGCATATATGGAAGCAATTGCCTAGAAGCAGAAAAAGAAGGAATCTTTATTCTTCATGGAAACAGGGGTGTTTACCATGATGATAAACAACCAGCGTTTAGAGCTATTTATGAGGCACTGAGAAATGTAAGCACTTGTTTTAGGGCGGGGAGCGCGGGCTACTCCCATCAGTGCTCAGAGCGTATTCCTGGCTCTGCACTTAGGGGCCATTTTTGGTGGGTAAGTGCCTTACCCACTGTACTATGTCACCTTTTTTATGTCTTCCATGCTCCTAAAATTAGCTCTCAAAGAAGCTGTGGCTTCTCTTGGTGGAATCTGGGTGCAAGGCATGTTTACTGATACCAGGATACCTTTCCTTCTGAGCTCTTTCAGTGCCATAGTGGGAAATGTAAACAGACACACAGTCACCTTGTGTACACTTCCTCATCCATTTTCATTCCTGTTTCCTAAACTTGTATTTCAAAAAGTTTCATCATATAAATGGAACATTACCGCCACTCCTCTCTCTATGAAAAAGGGAAACTAGTAAAAGAATTGCAAGAGTTTAGAATTTATTTCTCTTTCTAGTTTTCCTTTTTCTCCCCTGCCCCAGGCCAGAGTGTATTTTTAGTACTGTTTAGAAGTTACTTAGATTAGTCTCCCCCCCACCCCCCTTTTACTTTGTTCCTTTTTTTTTTTTTCCTTTCGGGCCACACTCATTAATGCTCAGATGTTACTCCTGGCTCTGCTTAGGAATCACTCCTGGCAGTGGGGGACCATATGGGATGCCAGAGATCAAACCTGGGTCAGCCGTGTGCAAGTCAAATGCCCTCCCTGCTGTACTATTGCTCCAGCCCCATCTTTTGTTTCTTTTAATAAGTGAATATTTATTTAAAATAACCTTGCCTTCCTTTTATTGCTGTTGCCACTATGCCGGGTATGTACGTGACTACTGGTTGACCTCCCACTCGCTCTCCAGGTGGTGCTCACACAGTTAACTTGCTCTGGGAAGTGAGCTCATGGACTTAAACTTACAGCTTTAGCGCTTTTGAGCCACTGCCAATCCCCAGGCCCTGCGGGATTTCTTTTGTTCTCTTTTTCAGTGTGGTTACCATTTGAAACACATGGATCTTTTGTTTCAGTACTTTCCTCTGTTTTAGGGTTCCACTTTCTCTCTACCCTCCATATTTGAGATTTTTTATAGTCCAAAAGTTCATTATTTTTGTACTCAGTTTGTTTTTTGTGTCCATAGATCACATATGAATGGAATCCTGTGGTATTTGTCTTTCTGACTTATTTCACAGTACCTCCTAGGTTATTTCCCCTGTCACCTGTTCTGATAACAGTGTATTCTCTTTTCTTTACCTACTGCATTCTTAATCCAGTAGTCAGTGGGCAGATTGAGGGGTTTTTTTTTTCAGTTTTATTGTAAATAATGCTGCAGTAAGTAAACATGGGAGTACATATATCTCTGTGAATTGGGGTTTTTATGTCTAGGAATATATACCAGGATGCAGAATAATCGAATCATAAGGAGCTTTTACTTTCAATATTTTGAAGAATCTTCATAATTCTTTCCATAATGGCTATACCAATTTACATGTCCATCGATAAGGGTTCTCTTTTTTATTTTTTATTTTATTTATTTATTTATTTATTTTGCTTTTTGGGTCACACCCTGCGGTATCCAGGGGTTATTCCTGGCTTTGCACTCAGGAAACATTCCTGGCGGTGCTCAGGGGACCATATGGGATGCCAGTGATCGAACCTGGGTTGTCTGCGTGCAAGGCACATGCCCTACCTGCTGTGCTATTGCTCCGGCCCCCTGGGTTCCCTTTTTTAACACTTGTTTCTTGAATATCATTCTCATATTTGTTTTGATTTGATTTTGTTTTTGATTTGTGTTTCCCTAATGAAAATGGTGAACATATTTTTATGTGTTCCATAAAAATGCCTCATTTGTTCTTTGTTTGGACCAGATTTCTTTCACTTTGCAGAAGCTTAAGTAAAGTAAAGTAAAGTAAAGGCCCTCCCGTTGATCATCAATTTGCTCGAGCGGGCCCAGTAACGTCTCCATTGGAGACTTTGTTGTTACTGTGTCTGGCATATCGACTACGTCACGGGGAGCTTGCCAGGCTCTGCCATGCGGGCGAGATACTCTCGGTAGCTTGCCGGGCTCTCCGAGAGGGGCGGAGGAATCGAACTCGGGTCGGCCATGTTGGCTGCGTGTAAGGCAAACGCCCTACCGCTGTGCTATCGCTTCAGCCCGCAGAAGCTTAAATTTAGCATATAGTCCTGATGGTCTTGCTTTTGTTCTCTGTTCTGTTCTGAGGTAAGTCTCCAATAAGCGGACTCAGCGTTGGTAAGCATACTTACTGCCTACATCTTCTACTCATCTTCTTATTTTGGGTCTTACATCCAAGTTTGAATCAGTTTTTCTGTGTTGTGGGGCAGGAGTGATAGCACAGTGGGTAGGGTGTTTGCCTTGCACGCCACTGACTCGGGTTCGATTCCTTCGCCCCTCTTGGAGAGCCTGGCAAGCTACCAAGAGTATCTTACCGGCACGGGAAAGCCTGGCAAGCTACCCATGACATATTCGATATGCCAAAAACAGTAACAACAGGTCTCGCAATTTGTTGTGAGATGTTACTGGTGCCCGCTTGAGCAAATCATTGAACTGGAGGACAGTGCTATAGTGCTACAGTGTTGTGTTATGTAATTGGCTAGTTTCTGGGTTTTTTTTTTTTTTTTGCATCTGTCTGTTCATTTTTTCCCAGTACTATTTATTGATTTTTTTTTTCATTGTGATTTATTTTGGTTCCTTTGTCCTAGATTAATTGTTCGTTGTAGTTTTTTCTTTCTGGATTCTCAGTTCTGTTCCGTTGATCTGTTTTTATCCTGGTACTTTTGTGTTTCAGTTTCATGTTGTAGTTTGAAGTCAAGGAGCACAAATACCCCAGTATTTTTCCTCATAAACAACTTTGGTATTTGATTTCTTTAAATTCCAAATAAATTTTATGATTTTCTCCCTTTTTCTGTGAAGAAGTGCTTTTAGGATTTTGACAAGGATTACATTAAGTCTATAGCCATTTTAAGATTGTGAATTTTCCCATCTCTGAGCACAATATTTCCATCACCTTTTTTTGTTTGTGGCAGTGTTTGAGAGTGTTCAGTGCTCACTTCTGGCTCTCTGCTGAGGAGTTACTACTGGCAATGCTTTGGATCAAACTGGGAGGTGGTGCATGCAAAGCAAGTACCTTAGTCCCTCGACTGTCACTTTGTATCTTCTAACTTATTTCAACTATGTCATACTTTTCTCTGTCTACTTGTGATTAAATTTACCTCAGGATACTTCATTATACTATAAATGGGATGTATTTTCTGATTTCTCTTTTGGCTATTATTTGTTTATAGAAATGCAATTGACTATTATATGTTAATTTAGTGCCTGACATTTTCTTACTTTTACTCCGAGTCTTTAGTATTTTCTAGGGATATTGTCATGTCATTAGCAAATAATGATAATTTTACCTCTGGATTTCTTTTATATCTTTCCATTGTCTAATTGCTCTTTGGGATTTTCAGTACTGTTTTGAATAGTGATTAATGAGTGCAGGCATTCTCATCTTGTTTCTGATCTTAGAAAGAAGACTTTTCAAGTTTTCACTATTGATTATGATGTTGAATAATGGTTTTTCATATAGCCTTTATTAAGGTACATTCCTTTTGTAATCATTGAGAGTATTTAATCATAACAAGATTTTGAATCTTATCAAATGTCTTCTGAGACTATTAAGATAATGGTCTTTGATTTTTGTCCTTTTGTTGATATCACCTTATGTCACCTTAATTTGGGTAGTTCAGATCTTTCTTCCTTTTTTTTTCTTTTTGGGTCACTCCTGGCTCTGCACTCAGGAATTGCCCCTGGCGTTGCTCAGGGGACCATATGGGATGCTGGGAATTGAACCCGGATTGGCTGCATGCAAGGCAAATGACCTACCTGCTGTGCTATTACTCCAGCCCCCATAGGTCAGATCTTTCTTATTGATTTATACCTAAATAAACCATAAGACATAAATTGAACTTAATTATGGTTTGCAATTCTTTTTTTTCTCACTAAACTTTGTTTTTAAGGTTTGTGACTCTTTTCTTTTTTGTATTTTTCTTTTTTGTATTTTTCTTTTTTGTATTTTTTTTAAAGAAAACTTTATTAAAAAAATGAAAGTTTGGTACTGTGGTTTAGATAATAATAGGGACTCACGTATGCATTCAGTGTTCTGCTATACATCCTTCACCAGAGCTTCATTGTCATTCCCCCTCCCCCATCCCTGTCTGCACCCTGACCAAGCTAACGTCAATTCTGTAGAATAGTTGTGGAATTTGGTTTCTTAGTGTTTTGTTGAGAATTTTTTTTTGGGGGTCACACCCGGTGATGCACAGGGGTTACTCCTGGCTCTGCACTCAGGAATCACCCCTGGCGGTGCTCAGGAGACCATATGGGATCCTGGGAATCGAACCCGGGTTGGCCGTGTGCAAGGCAAATGCACTACCCGCTGTGCTATTGCTTCAGCCCCTTGTTGAGAATCTTTGCATCTTTTTTTAAAATTTTTTTAAATTAATCACCATGAGATACAGTTACCGCTTTACAAACTTTAGTAATTACGTCTCAGTCATACAATGATCGAGTACACATCCCTCCACCAGTGCCCATTCTCCACAACCAATGTTCTCAGTATTCTTACTGCCACTCCCCTCCCCCCCAACCCCACTCCCGCCTCTGTGGCAGGCACATTCCTTTTTACTCTCTCTCCTTTTGTGTGTTATGGTTCCCAAAACGGGTACTAAGTGGCCATCATGTTCGGTCCATAGTTTAAGCATACATCTCATCCTGAGCGAGCCCTCCAAGCATGTACTTGGTGGTCCCATCTCTATCTCAGCTGCCTTTTCCTCAGCATGTGAGGCCGGCTTCCAAGCCATGTAGCAATCCTCCTGACCCTTATCTCTGCTATCCTTGGGTGTTAGTCTCCCATTATGTTACTTTATATTCCACAAATGAATGCAATCAATCATTCTATGTCTGTCCCTCTCTCTCTCTTTTCATTTATCATGATAGTCTATGTTGATCCACTTATACGCAAATTTCATTA